CTTCGATTATTTCATCAAAGAATTTTTTTTTTTTTTTGTTTATTAAAAAAAAATATTGTCACTGATAAAAATCACTTGAAACATAGAAAAATGATACAGAAATCATTTTCAAATCTCTTATTTGGACACTATCAGTCATTTATTTTTAATCACATCTCTTTGTTTATTAAATAATAAGTCTTTATTTTTTAAAAGCTTTTTTATGACTTTTCTTTATAAAAAATACATTCACTTAACTATATTGACTAGTCGTAAGACAGCACCTTTTGTGAAACATTTGTCAATTTGAATACCGACGGAACGCAAGCTCGAACCTCACGAACTTTCTATAATTGTTTCTTATTAATTATTATTATTATTAATTTTTTTTTCTAATATCACTTTTTTCAACTCTGCATACTCGGATATCAATAACAACAACGTTTAAACAATTCACGAAACTACTAAGTGACAATCGAAGATTCACCTGATTAAAATTTGTTCTTTTCCTTACAACGCAATAATTTTTCAAGAATATCATCACTATAGCGATAAATTGAAAAAAAAAAGAAAAAAATTGTAGTCAAGCTACGCCATTGCCATCCTTTTAAAATTAAGTTTAATGATTATCTTTGAAGATATCTTATGAGATTTCTAAAATCACCGAAGTGCAACGTGTAGCGGGAAGAAAAAATTTACGATCTATAAATAATCAGTACAACAGTATTTTCATTGTAAGTATATGTAGTTACATGCAATATGTTCAATCCACGCAATTTCTTCCTCTTTTTTTCGTTTTGCTTACATGAATAGCACAAAACAGAGTATACTTATACTTTTTAATCGTCGAACTTAACTTTTTTTTTGTTTTATTTTGTACTCGCAGTTTTATTTGATTTTTTTTTTTTTTTTTCATTTAGTCGGTATTTAGCCTTGCCTCGTCGAAATGGGAAATGATTAAATAACAATCAACTTTTGGCTTTTTTTGTCGCACGCGAGATGGAATTGAATGGAAGATTTTATAATATAGGCCGTTTGTTTTCTTCGTTTTTTTCCCAATTTTGACGAAAATTGACGCTTATACATGACTACAAAGAAAAAAAATACCTTCATTCGTGCGAGTTTTCGGTATAACGATGTAACATTGGTAACATTAACACTGTTTCTTTTTCTTTAATATTTTTTATCTTCGTGCCGAGCGAGTAATAAATAATAGAAGTAAATGGGTCGATTTGATATTTGTATATATTATTATGCTCTCTGGTAGATAATGTGATATTTACAAAATGAACCGGATCTTCGCGGGTGTCATTAACAATGAGCAATAAAAAATATACAAGTAAGACAACTGTAGCGAACAAGTTAAGAGTTAAAAATATTAAAATCTTATGTAAAAAAAATATATAAAAATATACATCTTTTGTACAACAATTATAGTTTAATACGGGGTAATTTAGTACATACAATGATATGTATATCATATAGCTGATGGCAGCACTTGGAAGTAAATTAATCACTAAAATGGTATAACTTCGACAAACTAAATGTCGTATATAGATTACGCGATTGGATAAGATAACTATATTTATACTGTTCTCATTATAAATTAGGCGAAAAAAGTTTTAAAATATCTTTTCTTATCGATTCATCATTTTTCTTAACATGGCTGCTGATGTTCTAAACCTCAATTTTCACATTAAGACGATACAAGAATAAAAATTTTTGATTTTTAAGGTAATGCGCAATTTTATAAAAATAAAAATAATAAAATTACGATCGAATGGATAACCTAATTAGATGAACGTTACAGTCTATGAAAGTTAGTGTTTTTCTAGAGACGGTATATTCCAATCAAATAATGGTAAATATACGTAATCTGCAAAATTTTAACTGCAAAAAAAGTACCATTAAATTTGAAGTGCGATTTTATTACTAGCCTAAAAAAATATTTATATTTAAAAAATAATATACTAAGATACTTATTTAAGATAAGTAAAAATTCTAAAAAATGTATGCATCAACAACGACGAAATACTTTGGGTAATTTCATATTAGTATCGTCTTACATTATTTGTAACAAATCAACAACTGTGAAAGTTGTAGAACGCGAAGAGCAAAAAGACTGGAAAAATTTCAATTAAATGTAAACAATTTTTTTTGTCAATGGAGAAATTATTAGTAAAAGATTTTAAAAATGTGTTATCACTCACATCGGGTAACAAGAGGCGACGACACGCGAGAATACTTTTCCGGGAGCGCATTTTTACAGGTGTGCGCGAGACACGGCAGACTTTTCAGACAGAGACGTGTTTTCTCTTATTTTTATCTCTCGATATTATCATTCATCAAATAAAATATATACAAATGAGGCGCGACCAGTGAAGTTGATGTGTAAATTTACGATGAAAGAGTAAACGAGTACTGATGAATTTGATCAAATTAAAATGAGTAGAGTATGTAGATAGATAAGAAAAAAAATAAAAACAAATAAAACAAAAGCAATATAGATATATACAGGCGCGGCGAAAGTAAGATGGTGAATAGAGTAAAATAGATAATGCACCCTGTAACATTGATAAGAACAAACGTTAGTACATACAAATATATATATATATATATGTACGTACGTATATATAACTATATCAGATGGATATTTTGAATTTATGGCATTTGGATGGCATCTGGATGGATGGACACATTGTTGGTGTTGTGGCCAAGGTTGTGAAATGAAGAAACAACAGAAGGCATTTAATGAGCGATTGTTTATTATGCTCTTATGATCACTTGTCATACAGGTAACGATGCTTTTATCATGAATGAAAATAGTTAATATATTATGTTTTATATTTTTGTTGTTTACCTATAATTATTTAACATTGAGATGGAATAAAACGAATGATGAAATAATAACAATCTGTGAATGCAAATAAATATGGTTAGAATAAGTGTCGAACCAATCAGTTGATCCATCAAAGAGTCGTTCTCAATTTTTTTTTTTTTTCCTTTCTTTTTCTTTTCATGAATTCATAAACCTCTTTTTGAGACTTTTTAACAAACTTTTTCCCTTAAAACGACGATAGTACGTATAATTTGCACAACTATTTTTTCCCTTTCTTACTATATCAATGCAATTTTTTTTTTAAATTCATTTAATATTATTTCCTTTTTTTTAATACATCAGTGCAACACATCTCATATATTTTACTTNAAGAAGAAATTTTTTTTTTTTTTTTTTTAATGTTCCGATGTGAAATGAAATGAAGACGCACATATGTATTCCAGACCCACAAACACGTCGAACGTTCATTTTTTTCTAACTTTTTATGATGACGGACAACCGCATCTCACAACAATCGTTTAATACTAAAAAAACAATTTTATTTTTATCTTCAACATCAATAAATTTAATAAATGATTGATGGACATATGTATACAAATGTGGTAACGAATGATAAAAAAAAAAAAAAATGTATATTCACCGACTAATGTAAATTTATGTAAACGTAACCGAGCACCATATCGATAAACCTAATTTTATAGATACAATAAAATTTTTTGTTGCCTCTTATCTACAACGACGTAACATTGGCTTTATATTTACGCATACCCAAACTTAATCGATATACGATTTCTTAAAATCCTACAGCTTCAGTTGGAGCGAACACTTCATCAGTACGTATATTGTGTATATTTTTGTAACTCCGAAATATAATGAAAAAATCAACTCGCACGATAACGTTAAAAATTATTAATATAACATGAGATCGCGACTATGGAATACAGTTCAATTCCCGTAGCGATGAAAATGGTACTTTGAAAACTTGGATAAAATAGAAAAACAAAAAATAATAATAATAATATAATAATGGTAATATTACAAGAAACGAGTAACCTTTATTTTATTTAAATATTCATTTCTCTACTGTTTCTCGCTCGCTATCTTTCTTTCTTTCGCTCTTATCACTTTTTTTTGTATTACGCGAATCAAATAGTATGTATGTGTAATGTATTAATGTTTTTATGTACGTGTATGGCATTTGGCAGATGAAACTAACAAATATAGAGATTTTTCCACGTTGTCTTATATTTATTATTTCAACACTTCTTAAACAATTATCTATTTTTCGCCACTCGTGTGCTTGCAAACTCCTAAATATTTATAGTTTTTTCCCTGTTCTTTTACTTTTTTCCACGATCTCTTTTCTTTTTTGGTATCATCAAAATATTTCGAGCTCTAGAATGTATTTTTTCTTTTCTCAGCCTTAAGGTACTTTATAATTTTTTTGTGCCTTTCTGGGTTACTTAGATGCATGTTGGTAAAAAAGAATAACAAAGCTCCCTCTCTTTCCTTCCTCGACGTGTATGTGCCTTTGAAAAAAGATAAGGACAAAGAATAAGAGGAAAAATGAGTCTCTAAAATAACGAGCTTCCCGACAGTATAAACGACGCACAAGCGCAAATATACCAAGTATACAGATTTTCTCCCATAAAAACGTGACTTTAGCGCGTTACACAAAGAATGTCACGAAAACTTGCAATTACTTTTTGCTCCATCTATTCCGCCTCGCGAGAGAAGCGAACAATAGCTCGATAAAAAGTATATTTTTATTTCAACTATCACTTTTTCCTGTAAATAACAGATTACGATTTCAAGAAGAGGAAAAAAGCTTTGGCTATCGATATTGCTCAGTCGGAGCGGCAACGAGTAAATAAGCTTTTTTAAAAGAGCTTTCAAAGCTACAATAAAAAAGAAAAAAAATTTAAGATTTTGTTGACGATCATAGACGTCAAATCGTCGCGACGAAAAAAACTAGAGCGCGAGCCTTACATGTCGAGGAGTGAAAGACGTAGAGAAGAAAGGCTGAGAGC